CAGAAAATCTTTTCAGGACCCCACCTTGATGTTTTAGGACCCCACTTTGGGTCCCGACCCCAACTTTTGGAAACACTGCTGTAAAGCACTTTGGCCAATCCATCCATCCAGTATCTTTACTCACTTTTTCTTTTCTGGGTCACGGGGGTCGCTAGTGTCCAGCTGTTATTGTGTGAGAGGCAGGGGACATCCTGCACAGGTCGCTAGACCATCATAAATTCATCGCTCACTCACACCCAGGACAAAAATAAAGTGGATCTATCGTGCAAGTTTTTGGTCTGCGGGAAGAAACCAGAGTGCCCAAAGAAAACCCACGTGTGCACAGAGAGAACACGCAAACTCTACCCACAAAGTTCTCAGGCTGAGATACAGTCGTCAAGCTTCTCTCTCTACCAACAGCATCACACCACCGATACGTTTAAACTGCTTTATATATAAAACAGTTTTATAGTCTTAGCTCAAAATGCAGTCTCGCAATAATCTCAAAATAATATATATATTCGTTAGAAAAATTCAATTTAATAAAATTAAAAAGGCAAATAACCTGGTTTAAGATTCAGATTTTTGAGATAAAAAGTAATCTAGATGTCAGAAATGCCCAAGTGTTCCAGGAGCAGCTAATTAAAGGTTAACACCAGCAGCACTAATCTAAAAATGAGTTCCACTAGCTCTAAAACACTTTCTCTAATATTTAGGTCCCCTAATTCTAAAGCACTAAAATAACCCAGTCATGAACATTCTTCAACAGACATGAGCCACATGTTGCCATGTTGCTCTCTTATCAGTGACATTCCACAGCCGTATTTGAGTYCATATATCGTCAATATATTGTCACCTGGTGGATMAGTGACACACATGAACAAAACATGTGACAGCTTTCACCTTCAGCTGTTAACATTAATCAATAACATTTATAGGCCTCAGTTGGTGCTTCTAAATTTAGCCCATAAATTTAGCAAGTGCTAATCCACTAATAAATTTTAAATTTGCAAAAGCTCTAAAGCACTAATCAGGAAATTAGTTCCCCTATTAGTGCTTTAGTGCTTTAGAGGAACTGTGCCCAGCACTGATAAAACATTTCCGAGCAGACTGGGATTTTATTTTATTTTTCCTTTGGTTGTTGTTTTTATCCGGCAACTTTGACACCAGATAAAACTAAATTTAGTATTTTTAAAACACCAAAACTATATTTGTGACACCTCAGATTTGAGTTGTTGCTAAACTTCCACATCTCATTTTTTTACCAACATTTTACCTAATTTCCCTCTGGGATCAATAAAGTATTTTTGAATTTGAATTGAATTGAATTTTTGAATTTATTCACTCGAGCAGTTTACAGTGTTGAGTGTTTTTAATCTCATAAATGAGATGTTTKATAATMCTTTGTGATGTAAATCTTGTGCGCTTTAAYTGTAATGCAATGTGTGGTTAATTAAAACTATACACTAAGAGTGTGAGCATTTGTCTTGTGAGTTTATGTCAGGGAATGGAGAAAATGAAAAAACTAAACATATTAAACTTTGAGGCTCTAAAAAGTTGAGTTGCTCAAGAGAAAAGCAGAGAAACTGCTGAAGGACCTGATTTAATGTTTGCAYAAGCAACAAATAAAACAACTGACCGACAGGGAGTCCTCCCCAACCTGACTGCTGGCCAGGGCCATGATGTTAGGAGAGTAGAACCTCTCRTACATGGAGGCGCCCTGACAGGTGTCGATGATGAAGAGCAGCTCGTTGTACCTAAACACAAAATAATTACACACATTTTCTAATAAAATCAGAGGCATTGCACTTATCCATTTGTTCCAATAAACCCGTTATCACACAAACCCTGCGACCATCTTTCACACTGCAGTTACCATGGTGACCAAGCCAAAGCAACAGCTCCATTCAGCAACACTCCTACACACATTTTCACCTCCGTGGTTTTTTTTTTTAACCAAAGAAGCAAATTTTAAAACAATGTTTCTCTCTTGTTTAGACAGTGGTGAAAATTAAAATCCCCACTGGCTGAGTCGAGTTGGTCTGGCGACGGTGATAAAGAGGTGTTTTTAATTTAGCAGTTCAAGCAATTATCACATCAGCATCAAAGCTGGTGCTGCTGAGCTTCCACCAGGCAGCCTGTGGCCTGAATACAGCAGAGACTCGTTCTGCTGGTGAGGACAGCGGAGGCACTTCTTTGCAGAAAAGATGCCGACACATTTACTGGATTTATTATTTATAGATCACAACTACACAACTCTACATTCAAAACAATAATTTCCAAACAAAGTCTCATTTTTGCAGGATTAAGGTTGAAACCTGTGCTCTCACAGGAGCATATGTTGTGTTATATGGGAGAAATAGGTCAAGGAGCAGTTAATGCGAACTGAAAACTGGTTATATAATAATAAAAACTTCATTATTATTTTAAATATTTTATAAATAAGAATATCCTAGATCTTCACCCCACATTAAATCCAGTTTGTGACCTGGTTTATGCTCGTACTTGCCAAATTATGATAGATACCCAATGAAAATCAGCAGGGACAATAAAGCCTAATTACGCTGCTCAATGATTCAGATTCATATCAGAACTCCCCACTGTTACAAGACAATCTGAGCAGAAATAATTAGTGGATTGATTTATTAGTTCATCATACTAACACGATTATATTAGCTGTTATTTCTTTCCTATCAAATTAGAGTAATTCAATTTTAGGAGATTTATTTTGAAAGTGTTCATGGGGGGTGTGGGGGGGCCAGATTTGAGCATCAGTCTTAGTTTTAATACTTCTAAGACTGACCACATAACAGCTTCACCACAACCCAAACAGCAACAAATCCAGACAAAATGTAGAAATAAATTATTAAATATGACCTGGATGATTAAATGTAAGATGTTACCAACTTATATGAAGATWGAAAAATCTGTATGAATTTTATTTTTGTCAGTTTTAGCAACAAGCTGTAAATTAGTTGTGATTTTTTCCCCCCCTAGATGTCACTGCATCCTGTATCTTCACAACTTTTTAAACACCTTCCAGGTGCCTGATGGAAGACCTGAAGTGAGTAAAGACTGTAACCTCAGTTTAATTCATTTGCTTTGTTTTCAGAATATCTTTACTTAGAATTTATGAAAAAAAAGAAAAGTTCCATCAAAACCACCTGTAGCTTTGAATCATCACCTCTCAGTAATGTGTTAATAGAAGCAATAAAAGTGGAAATTACCACCAGAGAAGACAAAATAAACCTGTTTTAAATGTTTCAAATKAACTAGGTTTTCCTTAATTCAAATATTTAAATCACGCCTTCATCTTCACCTCTGAAGTTATTTTGTTTTAGACCCACGATGTGCAACATTTCTTCACACAAACTATTAAAACATAAATCTTTAACTCTAAAGGGTGCATCAGTCCTCATTTCATGCTGAAATTGTTTACTATTAAAAACGTAATTGACGGCAATGGAGTTTTACAGTTGAAAAGTGGAAATAATGTAACAGAAATGTCATTGTGTATCTCAAGTCTTTCAACATCATTAAAAACCCTAAAATGACAAGAGAAATAAATGTACCAACACTTGAAAACTACATAGATGGCAAATAGAAGTCTGTGCCAGTGAAAGCATGTATGATGTAATTCACTGAAGCTTAATAAAAAACATCATTGAGAACCTGCAGAAAAGAAGCTTCTGATGCTGCACAACTAATGAGCCCTCAGGAGGGAGAGAGGCCAAGTGAAATGAACTCCAACAGGAGAATAACGGGATTAGACGTCAATCTGCATGTGTCGTTTCTGTTTAATCCCTCATGCTGCTTTTCAGCCGCCTTACCTTCTTTTCTGCCACATCTGCTCGAACGCATCAGCCAGTTCCACATTACTGATCTCCTCCGAGTCCTGGAACTTCAGAAAKCCATTCCCACCATGACCTGTTAACRAAGCACAGAACGGCAATTTAAATTTGCTCAGTTGTAAGCCTGGTGAAAGAGCTGGGACGTTAAGTTTTTATATTTGCATTGAAGTGTGTTCAACACWAGACTCATAAGTACAGTAAAATAATAGAATAACAGGAACAAAACTGATTACCTGTGAGGTATATGAGGATGTTGCTTCGGTCATCAGAAAGGAGRCGTTTGGAGCGTGGCGTACTGGGAGGAAGTCGTCCGGTCAAGACTCGCAGGAAGTTCTCCACCGTCACCTAAAACAAACAAAAAGCAGATCTCAACATCTGGAAATGTATTACCATTTTTTAGTTTAGACTAGATTTTAGATCCATGTTTCTCTTCTGCTTTATCATCATTAATTCTTGTTACACATCACAGAATCACAGCAAGCATGAAACTGCAGTTCTACAAATAATGAACCCCAGAACTCTGCCTTCATCTAATCATTTCCTGGTGAACAGACAAGCCACTCAAACCAGCATACGTTCTCATAGATTACTGTAAATACAATAATAAAACACATGAGCATAAAAATTAAAAGTATGAATAAAACTCTACCAAAAGTCAGTCAAATCTTTTTTAATGAATCAGCTCTCTTGACTCTAAATGTTTTTATAGAAGTACAGTTAAGCAGGCACATTATATTTGAGAAATTTACTGGTGTTTCTTTAATATTTTAGGCTACAAGAGAGCATGAACTGACCTCATACCCTCTGTAGTCCACCTCAACATCATCACCGTACACGTTAAGCTCCATGTTCTTGTGACTGAACACTGTGGCCGGTTTGGGATTTCGGTGGTTACAAGCCATGTCATCAGCCAACATGAGAACTATGTGGCTGGTTAACAAAAAGAAAAACAAACAAACAAACAGATTACCAGCATTTAAAGACAATAAAACACCAGTCATGTAGGCAAACATTTTGAGTGTTATAAATAGTAAAATGAAAAAATAAGGCGTCCATTTCTCAATACTTTACTCACTAAGCGTGCCGACTGCAAGAGCTTCCAGTAAATAAAACAGTTTAATGACTTTTATAATTTATGATCTCGATAAGACTTGTTTTCTGACAAAAATAATAATAATAATTGATTATGTTATAATTTAAATTTTAAGTAAATAAAAGTGATAGCTTGTTTATATTATTGTCATTTATTACCAAATACAGACTGTGTGTGAGCTTATATACCTGTCAGGGATGCCCAACCTCTTAACACTTCTGTACACAGACAAAGTGTTGGCCACATGTCGGTAGTTGAACCAGAATCTGGAGGTGCACACCTGTTTTAAATTTAGAAAGTCATCATATGTTTCCTTTGCTAACACTATTAAAGACAAATAAAAATGATTAAATACGAACCAGAACAGCCCAGTTATTCGTATGACCGCTGCTGAAGAATTGCCCCACACTATTCTGAAAATTCACACAGATATAAAYAAACAAATCTAAGCGTTTTCATGTAATTTTGATGCTTAGAAGCTATACGATTCAACAAAACAGGTTGAATGATTAGCACATTAAGCTAGCAGGAAACCGAGGTTTTGCGACAAAAAAAAAAAAAACGAAATCAAACCGATGAAAAATCAAAGCTGACGCAAAAATAAATCAACTCACCTCGACGTTAACGCTGTCAGCAACTACATATGCTGCAAAAAGGCTAAATAAATGAAATAAATTCATGCTGTAACGCTGTGAGCGTCCACTACACAACAAGGAAGTAAAAACTCCGTCGAGCAAGTGTTTCCGGTTAGGGGTTTTTCAAAATAAAGTTTGTAAAGGAAAGCGTAGTGGTGAAATAAGAGCCTATAAACTACAAACAAAAGTAATGATTGTTCCTAAGTTCACATTATTTTACATCTGTGCCTGTGGATCATTTATATCAACATATAAATTTAATTTTATTTGTTCCTCAAAACATTTAGTTTATTTTGTAAAATGTAAGAAAAAGATTCAAACCAGTCCCTTGCTCTTAGCTTAGGAAGGCAAGGCCCAGGCTAGAAAAAAAATTGATTTATTTCCAGTGGATCMGTACAAGTCTGCTCATATCTGTGTTATTACTAAATGATGCATGCTCAWACATGACTTATCAGTGGATGTGCACACACACAACTCTCACAGAGATGAAACAAAATAACAATAAAGGCCAAAATCAAGAGAAGTAAAATGTCAGAGACAGAAAACAAACATTTTTGAAACAGGCAGACAGATTGAAGATGATCTTYGTAAAACATTTTTGATCACGTCATGTGATGTCAGCTGTGATGATCTGTTATTTAGTTGTCATTCAGACAAACAAAATGAAAAGATTTAAAAAATTGTATTTTGGGGAGATTTTGACTMATTTCTAATATTTAATTTCTCTTTGTCACATTGCTTCTTTGACTGGTTCTGTTTGCATCTCGTGACAATTAATTGTTCATTACAAAGCGTCTCCATAATTCTCAGCTGACTGCAGGTTTATCTCAGCTAATTACCACTGAGTCAATCATGGCAGACGCCCTGATGAGAGAAATTCAAATTTGGTGACAAGTGATGCAGACAGCTTTTTGGAGGGAGCTCCTGTAATGAGAAATGACAGGAAACAAATATTTTAAAAAAAGATTAACATGTTACTAATGAAGTATCTCTAAGCAGAGACCTGAAGGAGAAGCTCTAAAAATAAATCTCCATGCAGATCCAAAGCTACACTAACAGGGTTGGCTTGAAAAACAACATCAATTCAGCTTCGCCCCCCCAGCAGCGTGGGCGTCTTCAGTTCATGACAGACCACTTTAATCCCTGCTGCCTTCTTCAGCTGACCCTCACTCTGCCTCTGCAGACCTCATCACAGGACCGGGAAGTCTGTGAGGAGCATCAGAAAATGTCATGAAAAAAGGAAAGATGTTCAGCTAATCAGACAAATATGATCATTTTGTTCACTGAGACTGAAGCTTGGACACGTGTGGAGTTTTAATGACGATCATTCCCTGATAATCTCAGTTATTGTGAGATTTAAATAATAAATRAGACTGAAACTCAGATGTTTACGAACGCTAAAGACCTGGTGTTCCTGAAGGACTGTTTTAGACTAAACT